AGTGGCAATTTTGCTCTTAGTGGCAAATTAGTTTCGCCATTGTGACTATGTATATTTAAATTGGATTTTTTTCAGTTTCGGCTCGCCTTGAGCACGGCTGCGTTTAATTTGCTACACCAGTTTATTTATAATTTGTGTGTTTGAAATGATCTACAAGTGTGGTATTTTGCACTGATTGTATGTCTGTATGGAATAAAACTTGTTTTTCATAATAACTCAGCTATTTTTTGATAAATGATCTTCCAAAGTTGATATGGTAAGGAAATTAATGGGTGTCGTTTGGTATGAGCTTCTATAAAAAAGTATTGAATTGAAAGTATGTATATAAATCGATAAAATCTACTGATTGCGTAAGCAGAATGAAATTTTTAAACAAAAGTGAACAGGATATCGAAAATTTGTGGCAGCAACGACTCATAGAAATTTGTATTTCCCATCTCTGTTCATGGGACTCGATTCTGCACGATTTTGGCATAGCTTTAGAACTTTCCGAAAGTTACTCGCTTTTTTGTAAATTTTTGGCCTTTTTCCCTGTCGCGATGATGAGCCGTTCTTGGATTATTTTTTTCGCTGTGCTGAGGCTGCAGATAGATAAATATCTTCACAACATTTCTTCTAAATATAAATCCCTCAGAAAGTTTAGTAGCGCTTTCAGGTGTAAAGATTCAGTGTGCTCAAGCTCTTAGAGCAGACGGAGTAACATTCGATGACGATAAGTATTCTTGTCTCACTAGTTTATTCGCATAACAGACAAAGATCAGTTTAGTATATCCCGTAATGGCACATATGGCTTGCTAGTTTGTAGTGTACTGTCAGGAAACCTGTTAGCATTGGGAGCTCCTTTGGAAGGCTGAGTACATGTTCAAGTCTCTTTCTGTTATATGTTCCTAAGAAACTCTTTGCCTATCGCAATCTTACTGAGTTTAGTCAATTAGGATTCTTCAATACGTTGATCTTCATTCTGTTTATTTATTTAGTCTAAACAGTACAAGCTTCCACGCACACAGATAGATGGCATAAACTTCGCATGAAACTCTGCCATATATTTCCCCATAGCAACATACATTCCGGCTCTGGGTCCGAAAACACCTACCGCTATTCCTTCTGGAGTTGTCAAGCCGTCTGGGTACAAATTCAAGATGCCTCCGTGGAGTAATCTCTCGAAGGAATATTAGTTCCCGGATGCTTCGTTTCATAATACTATTTTAAACCACATGCGGAAAAGGATGCAGGGGTGTTGCCTTCAGACTGTTCGACCTTATGTGGTTGTGGTGCAAATTCGCGAGATGTTCAAGAATTTCACTTCAATTCGGTTGGCGCTTTACGCTCGTCTACGGGGATGCCAAAATCTCTCTCCCAACACAAAGCCAACACTGAGTTTTCGCAACCTTGCGTCGTCCATTAAAAATTATGCACTTCTCATGAATACCGAATAAAAAATATGTTAACTAAAACACTAACTTAATTTAAAGAAATTTTAATGAATACTTGATTATAGATCAGTCTTTGAAGAGAAGAAACCTTGAGAGTGATCACTAGTCATAATTACAAAAAAAATACAGCTGCACAAATAAAGTTTAAATTTCAATTCCTAATTCCGATCAAATACCGTGCGGAAAATATAAATTTCGCAAAACAAAAATGCCCACAAGCTATCGTTTATAATCAATTTAATAATTAATTTTTTTTTTCGAATTCCTTGCAGTCGCCAGTGGCATTCCGCTACCGCAATCGGCAGCATAAGTACCGCACGGTCGAATTCCACCGGAAACAGCATAAATGAGTAATTAACGTAAGGCGAACCAGCTAGCGCCAGCAACAACAACTCATAAAAACGCACCACAACAACATGGAAGGCATGAATGTTGGCAATTTCAATGGTATTTCCACTAGCAATCACAACAATAGCAGCGCAAACATGAACAACAACAACAACAACAACAACAACAACAACAACAGCAATAACGTTAACACCAACACCAACAGCGACATGATTCGGCAATCAGAGTCACCAGCACGCACAATCGATTCGCACGACTCCACTATCGATAGCATGGATACGATTGTGGATCGCAGCATCAATCGCGAGGAGCTCATGCAGGCAGCCATTGAGCAGAGCATGAACACGACAAATGACCAACACGATAGTCTCACCAATTCACAAAAATCTATTTTACAACAAACAAGCAGCGGCTGTAGTGATACAGAAGAGCATCGCCAGCGATTGGGAAAACAAAAGCAACAGCAAACGCAACAACAAGTGCAACAATTGCACGCAGATGCACAAAGCCACATCTACTCAAGTCCTGTTTATGATCAAAAACCACCACTGAAATTAACAGCCGCCACTATGATCGCTTCCGTCACAGCTAACAACAGCCGTAACAGCAATGGCAATGGCGATGGCGATCACACAAAGAAATCGAAACTGATGACACACGAAGAGTTCCAACAACAGCTACAGGCAACAATGGCTGCGCGTGCCAACACACTTGATTCGCGTATAAGCAAGAAACAGCGTTTTCCACCGGAATTGATTAAAATCAAAGATGGCGACGGCAGCTCATCGAACTCGGCGAAATATCAAAGACGTGCCAAATCCAGCGCCGACTGTTGTTCAGCCTTTCCATGGCAAATCGTTTTGGGCACTTTGCAGTTAATGTTGGCCATTACGCTGGTGGCGCTGGGTTCATTGCTGATTGTGCGCGAAGCAGCGCTTTCTACGGCGGGCTGTGGTATTTGGACGGGCTTGGTGGCCGCCATTACGGGTTCGCTGGGTGTGGTTAGCATAAGAAAGACCCAGACTGCTTTCCTGGCGTTGAGTTTGGTGTGCATAGCGACCAGTACACTGGCGTTGGCCGTTTCGGGCGTGGGCCTCTCCAGGGATGTGAATCGCTTGGAGGAAAAGGTGAGGCAAAAGTTTTTTTAACAGCCACTTAATGCCTACATTAATTAAAAAACATTATTTCCTCCATTAGTTTGACCTGTTGAATGCAAACAGTGAAGTGTCAGCTGCTTCCGGTTTAATATTAACGTTGTTTTTACACTTCGTGGTTAGTATTATATCCGTTTATCGGTGCGCTTTGCAGATATGTTCAAGGTAAGTGGAAATGTTATTAATAACAAAGTTATATTACCCTTCTGAACAAGTGCACTAGGGTATAAAAATAATGAACAGTTAACAAATTAAATTAAACGCTATATTTACACAAATTTCACATCCGGTCTGTCTAACTCCACGTCTCCACCTTTCACTAAATGTGTCTTAACATCTGTCAAATTTCTGTTTAAACCTCTTCCTGTTTTCTCATGTGGACAACTCGCTGTCTTAAAGCTTAAACAGACCTTAGCGTTGATCCGGATTATCTCGGACTTAATCCGGATCAGCTGCTGTTAATTTCCGAGTTGATCAGGATCAACGCTGCCGTCTGTTTATGCTTTTAACATATCAGTTTCAAATGACATCAAGCCAATCAGATCGATCTGCACCCAATAGTTGCCTTCCAGATGCTTCACGATTTGCAGGTTTTTACAGGAAGCCGTTCCAGGTGACCACCTTCCATATGGCAGCTGCTCCTGCAAATTATGTAAAACCCAGTGAACCTGTGAAGCATCTGGAACGCAACTAATGGTAATGGCGTGGTAAAATGAAAATTGAGTTTTCAAACTCCGAAATGACAGCTGATGTGAAGACAGCCGCTACAACAACAACAACAACAGCGATTGTAAGAAATTCTGCAAGACAGATATGGTTTAACAGTGGAAATTCACGCTCCCACCTGGCATTTCTATCATAACATAGCTTTTTTAACAGTATCTGTAGAGTGTGGAGACGTGAGGTAATATTTCTCCAGCAAAGAAAAAATCTATTACTATATGCAGAGTTGCCATCTTTGTTTTTTAAATGTCCAACACAGTCGACCCCTTGTTTTTATCAATTTGAGTAAGCTAATTGAAAAGCTTAAAGTAAAATACACAACGTTCATTGTGTCACCTTCACCATCCCCGTCTGTTGTCAAAAAAGTTGAACCGGTATATTTGTATGAAGTAAGTTACATGCACAATGCTAATGGAAACAGTACCGCACAAATTAGCTCAACTTCCAACTTTGCTATAGGTATGCTTCAAGTGACAACTATTCTGTATTGTTTACATTTGAAATACATTTTTCCAGTTTGTGAAAATGTTTGACGGTAACGCAATGGACATTGGGCAGGTTCAGAAGGCGCAGCAGTTGAGCACAACCGTTGCTAAAAAAAATCAGTAATCGTTATTCGTCTTTTGAGCGGCTTGATAAATTAGTTGTCAAATTCAACTGTCAAAGGCAAACACAACATGTTTTCTCAAATGATCAGAAAAATATTTCGATCATCTAACAGCAGAAAAGAAGTCCGTTTTTTAAAAGCATCTGAATGAATACATCCATCGTTATATCCACCACTACTTTATAATTTCTCAATCGTTTTACTCGTTTCTTAACACGTGGCATCACTTTGCTTAACGAACTGTCAAATGTTGACAAGTCAGTGCAAATTGGACAATAAGCTGGCAGCAGCAGCAGTGAAGTGAAAATTTTATTTATTGCCTTCAATTTAGCAAAAATTGTTGGAAAATATGGAAAACCAGTGTAAAATGTTGTGTATATTATGAGTTGTCGCGTCCCTGTGCTCCGTGTACATCTACGTAAATGTTATAAATAAGTGATTGTGTACAAATAAACAAAACTACGTGTGAAAATCTCGCCCACGCCTTCCTTTCGCTTACCACATTCACAATTTCCAATCGCGTTTTCCGTGACAGCCATAAACGCAGTGAAAGCTGTTAAAAAATTTCAAGTTTCTGTGAAAATCATCGCATATTTAATTGGATCACGGCGACATCAATAACGCCCACGTCAACGGAGGTCATCAGCGTCACCGGCGCAATGCCACTGGCCGATTTGAATAAAGATTTGCGCCAGCAACAGCAGCTGGGCGTGGGCATTGCCGTCGGTAACAATGCTCACCTAGACCATGCTAATGGCACTTTGGGCCAACAGCAGCTGCGTCAGCGCATGCAGATCACATCGTCCGGATGCAGTAGTCTGGCCGTGACACCTATGGAGCATACGCCCACCGACGAAGAAAGTGGTGCCGTGACCACTGTGACGTCATCTCAGCGCAGACAGCAGGCTCAGCATCAGCAGCAACAACATTTGCAACAGGTGCAGCAAACGGCACTGCAAGCAGCATTGGAGCACCACCACATCAGTTCGGTTACGGCAGATACTACCGAGCTGATGGATTTAAGTGATTCTGAAGGCTACGCACCAGCGGCAGGCGATGCAGAGTTACGTGAAAATGAGTTTGAATTGCGCGAAGTAGTGAAGGAAGGTCATGAAAAAGCCGACCCTTCGCAATTCGAATTGCTGCGCGTGCTGGGCGAGGGCAGCTTCGGTAAGGTGTTTTTAGTACGCAAGGTTGTTGGCAAGGATGCAGGCACGCTATACGCCATGAAAGTACTGAAAAAAGCCACTTTGAAGGTCAAGGACCGTGTGCGTAGTACAAACGAGCGTAAAATACTAGCCGACGTGGGTCATGCGTTCATCGTAAAATTGCACTACGCCTTCCAAACGCCCGGCAAATTGTATTTGATATTGGATTTTCTTCGCGGTGGTGATCTTTTCACACGGCTATCCAAAGAAGTAATGTTCACGGAAGAGGATGTTAAGTTTTACCTAGCTGAGTTGGCACTGGCTTTAAATCATTTGCATTCACTTGGTATTATCTATCGCGACTTAAAGCCGGAGAACATTTTACTAGACGAACATGGCCATATCGCGCTGACGGATTTTGGACTATCGAAACAACCACTAGACGGATCGAAGACATACAGTTTTTGCGGCACAGTAGAGTATATGGCACCGGAAATAGTGAACCGAAAAGGACACGACTTTGCAGCTGATTGGTGGTCTTTTGGTGTACTGATGTATGAAATGTTAACAGGTAACTTGCCATTCCACGGGCAAACACGCCAAGAAACCATGAACCAAATACTGCGTTCCAAATTGGGCATGCCCGAGAACCTCTCGCCTGAAGCACAATCATTGCTTCGTGCACTTTTCAAGCGCAATCCCCAAAATCGACTAGGTGCAGGTCCCAATGGTATACTGGATATCAAAGCGCATTGTTTCTTTGCCACAATCGACTGGTTGGGGCTGGAACGGAAAGAAGTGCGCCCACCATTTATACCGGCGGTGTCGCGTGACGACGCTTTCTACTTTGATGTGGAGTATACATCAAAGTCTCCACGAGACTCTCCCGGTGGTCCTATTTCCGCATCGGCTCATGAAATCTTTCGGGGCTTTAGTTTTGTCGCGCCTGTGCTACTAGATCAAACATCCAACAGTTCGAGTCCTTTATCCCCATTCGTGCCCAACGCACATCCCCAGCTGCGCAGTTTGCCAGGAGTGCTGCCTGGCAACTTCCATTCCGAATATAATCTGCTTCAGGAGCTAGGGCGCGGCACCTTTTCTGTTTGCCGTTTGTGTGAACATCGCTCAACGAAGAAGCATTTCGCCGTGAAGATTATAGAAAAAGCGGCAGCGGCCGCGTCATCCAGCTCGGCGGACTGTTGGGAAGAGGTCGAGATAATGTTGCGCTATGGCAATCACCCCAACATTGTCACATTGTTTTCTGTGTATGAGGACGCAACTTCAGCGTATCTGGTTATGGAATTGTTGAAGGGCGGCGAGCTGCTCGATCGCATACTAGCGGTGGGACAAATGTGCGAGAGTGAGGCGAGTGCGGTGCTGAGGACGGTCGTTTCGGCAGTGGCGTACTTGCATGAGCATGGCGTAGTGCATCGTGACCTTAAACCATCTAACATGATATACGCGAGCATGCGACAGACGCCGGAGACGCTAAAGCTATGTGACCTGGGTAAGTAACAAATCAAAATTTATGAAAGCAATCAAACTAACTAATTAACTGACGGCAAAATAATCGTGTTTAGGATTCGCAAAACAGCTACGCGCAGACAACGGGCTGTTGATGACACCTTGCTACACGGCCAATTTTGTGGCGCCGGAGGTGCTGAAGCGCCAAGGCTATGACCTGGCCTGTGACATATGGTCACTGGGCGTGCTGCTTTATATTATGCTCTCTGGCCGTACACCATTCGCTTCAACACCAAACGACTCGCCGGAGGTGATACTAAAACGAATCGGTTCCGGCCATGTGGATTTCACATCGAGTCGCTGGGCAATGACCGGCAGCGAAGTGAAAGATTTACTGCGTCAGATGCTGCACATCGTACCAGAAAATAGACCGACGGCAGCGCAAATACTGCAGCACCCTTGGCTGCGTGAACAGTCGGCGGGTTCAGTGCGCCTAACGGAATACGCGATAATACCCGCACAAATGTCAGGCGCTGGTGTCAATGCCATAGGCGAAGGCGGCGCGGGGTTCGCGCAACCCAATGCCAACTCGGTACGCGAAGCGACGGCGGCGTTGCGCGGTGCCGTCGATGCGACTTTTCGCGCGATTGCAATACCACAAGCGGCAAATGTGGGCCCAGTAGAAATGTCGAAACTGGCGAAACGACGTGCCAAAGACAAAGCCAACTTGCACTCGTAAATTTTGTCGGTGAAATTTAATTGAATCATTGGCGATTATATGAAAGCCGTTTTGTATGCTCGCCGAAAATTTGTTCAAAGGCTGTTGATGTGTGTGTGTGTGGTAGAGCACATAGCCACCATTATTCCACGGCATAAATTGTTTGCGTGTTTATTAATAAAAACACGTACATATACATACCTAGAAATAGGGACGCGAGAAGAAAGAGATACAAATTATATTTTTAGGCATTTTGTCGGCTTCCTATGCGCGACTTCCATAGGGTACACACAACGCGCATCCCTTAGGGGAAGGAGTAGCAAGCCTTGTGCGTGTCTGTAGCTGGGAATAGTGATTTTGTGAACAAGTTAAGTATTTATTTTTTTGACTAATAATTGTTGTTAGTAATACAAAAACGATTTTATTAAATTATTGACAAAGAAAAAAAACAAAACAAAAGATAATTTTTTGCAAAACTCTACTTACTCGTAAATAATGGCCAAAGTAAAAATGCTTAACAGAGAAGGATAACAATGAAATATATTTAATAACAACAAAAAACGTGTTGTACACTGGTACTCGCAGCGTAGGCTGTTTTAAGATTCTAAAGAAAATATTTCTAAAACGATTTCAACCACGTTTAGTGTTCGTAGCAGACAGTCTAAAATTAAAGTTACTACAATTCAGCAAAAGTAAATACCTTCGCTAAATCCAATTCCACAGGACTTTCAAACAAATTTGCCAAATTTAACGTAACTCCAATAGCACTTGTATTTGAAATCAAAAATTATGCACGAATATACATACAAGTGAATTTTAATGAATAATTAACACACACAAAAAAAAAACAATAACCAATGTATTGTATTAAAGTTAGTGAATACATACCGCAATGTAAAGTAAAAAAATTCCATGCTTAATTCTAATGAAATACAAGATTGTGATTTGCCTTTGAAAATAAGTATACAAACTTTGCGAACGTGTATATGTATATAAATGTATGTATTTAAGTACACACTTATGTACATATAAACGGCACTAAAAAAAAATGCGGAAAAATTGTTTGGAAAAAGTTAATTATGTACATACATAGGATTTACATATTTATATGAAAGAGTGTAAATAGGAGTTAGCGATGATTGATAAACAAAGTGTAGTGCAGTGAGTGTAGGACTACTTTTCAGCAAATTTAAAATGCTACTATGGGTAAACAAAAACTTTACGCATTCACGGCTTCTCCGTTGTTAAAATCATCTTTTCAACAGGCAAGAAAGCCTCACTGATCGTTAAAATATTTATATCAGTGCGTAAATTAAAATTTCGACGTTTTGTAACTCGGCTGTAGATTCGTATATACATACGTATATGTTGTATTTACATTACCGCTTCTAATTACATAATCTAAACGCATACATGCATAAGTAAATTTTAAGTAAATGGTAAAATAAATAGTAAGTAAGCGATTAATTTAAAGCTAAAAATAGTTGATAAAGAAATAACACTAAAAATATTTATAAAATGTATGTTATACTAAACCATATAAGGATATGTAATTTATTCACCAGATAATGCAAACCACAAGTACATACATACATACATATGTATAGCCAAGCATACAAGCTTATGCACATACAATTTATGGTATATATACAGACACGTACACATATTACTATTTAACAAATGTATATACATATATTTAGAGAGAATTTATATAAATACCTAACCCTTATACATTACCTACAAACATATTTATCTATGAAAAATGATTACGTAAAAGCTGCATAAGTCATATACTGCAATTACTATATATTTGTCGAACATCGTAAAGTTGCGTTATGTGGCCGTCTTTTAGGCTTTACACTTTGCATGTTATATAAAATTATATATGTATATAGAAAAGAAAAAGAAATTGTTGCAGTACTTGGGAAAACATACATACATATTTTTGAAAAGAAAGTGCAAATGTTGGTTAGGAAACATACATATATGGTATGTATGTACATCTATCTGATGTTGAAAGTTCATACATACGTATTTGTGTGCATAGTTTTTGAACTAAATCCTTTGAATTTTAAAATACAGAATGTGCAGTTAAAATTTATGAGAACCGCAAAGTCAGTGCCATGCTAAAGCATGAATCACCCACAACCACGGTTGATGAGGGCAAAGATGCATACATAAAGACATACAATATCACAAAAAAAAACTGGTCTATAGGTATTCTCACGGCATGTAGAACCATTGCTTAACAAGCTTACAAACATTCATGACTAATTTTAGCCATAGAAATTGGCCTCAGTTAAAAAGCATTTTATTCGAAAACGCTTTTTCATCTTCCACATTTTTATTCTACATATTTAAATCTCTTTGATGCCGCACTACTATCTGCCACCAAATTAATACCTTTCAAACAAAATAAATTACTTTCCGCGCAGATTAAAAAAAAATAAAACAAAATTGCCTTCTGAAAAAAAACAAGAAGATTTAAAAGCTTTTCCTGGCACTGATAAGACAATTGCTTTGTCTGCTACACTGGCTGTCAACTATAACAAACGCAACTTATGCGCACAAATATTACAAAAACAAATAATAATAATAATAAAACAAACTAGACGCTAATTATCACTATTTTCTGCTCGCTGCTGACTAGCATTCGTCATATTGGTGCCAAGTTAAGCAACAAACAAACATAAATACATAATTATGTATATGTACACCACAAAAATGTTAAGAGTGAAAATTTGTCAAAGAAATTGCTTCCATGCAAAAACGAACAAAAGCGAATTTCCATTGCGGCAAATGTGGTTTTTGCGTTTTTTTTATCTAACAGTGAAGTTAGAAAAATTTTGAAAAAAAAAACTTATTCAAACCCACTAAGTTGTCAATTTACATTGCAATTATTGTGCAAATATTTTTATTCACCTACTCGTATATTTTATGACATTTTACAACTATACTAATTTTAATTGTTAGCATTTTACCTAAAAATGTATTATATTCAAAATTTTAATATTCTGTGTGTGTCATTTTAAATAATGCATTTTACTCTACATACTTATATATATATATTGTATTTATAAGCATTTATGTCATTTAACATACATATATGTATGTATGTGCATACATACATTCATATGTATTTATGTCAATTGCCATTGTATACTAATTTAGTTAATTTGTTCCGAACTGTGAAATGTATTGTATTGATTAACACATTCAGCGATAGAAAAAAAGTTATTCGTTTGCATTTAGTTTTTAAAATATTAGCAAATTCTACAAACAAACAGCTGCCTCCTGCAAGCGCAAGAGTTTTTGCGAAATTTTCTGGCATTGCCGCGCATTTCATTTTACATACATACATATGTATTAAAAAATATAAAATTGAAAAAAAAGAAAATGCTATGCATCAGTGAATGAAAAGTTGTGTATTTTCCCGCATAAAATATTCCAGATTTATTATAATTCAATATACTTAAAACAGAAAAAGATAAGTAATTAAAAATATTTAAATTTATAAATGCATTGCATGTTTTAATTTTATTTAACAGTAATTAATTATCAATTGAATAAAGTTGATATCTTGTAAAATTATAAACCAGTTTTTCCTTTAATTGTGTAGGTGCAATGTGCAATGTCTTGTTGAGCCTATGCCGCTGAGTAGATTATTTAAAATGTTTTTTTTTTTTAATATTTTCCTTCTTACACAGATAACGAACAAATTGCTGTGCTATCAGCTCATAAAGATAAGACATTATCACCACCTCTTTTGACACACACTGACGCTGATTTCCTCTTAGCGCTAGTAAAAAAAAAGCTCCAGATAATGGCTTGAGGGCAGGAAATTGTTTATTACCTATGACAATCGGTCACATCCCAACGCTCAATCTCGCGTGTAATTAGTAACCGGTTACCAGAAACCACTTAAATTTCCTATTTTTTATCTAGAATATTTTTTTTAATTCTCGAGTATGCAGTTTTATATTATAGCCCATTCATTTCAGTACAAAGAAGTGCAAGTTTCAAGCCGCTAAAAATTACCGTTGGTTTTTAGAACTTTTTGCCGAGGGTGCTGAGCATTTTCTTCCATATAACGCATCAACAAAATTAATTTTTATATGGAAGAAAATTCTTACCACCCTCGGCAAAAAAATTAAAAAAAAACAACGGTAATCTTTAGCGTTTTCAACTTACACTTAACTGCACTTAAATTGATTGGGCCTCAAAACTGCATACTCGAAAAATTTCCAAAAATTCTAGATAAAAAGTTTGACGACATTTTTTTAATTTGATTAATTGTTGTGAACTTTGTGGAAAGAGAGGTATGCATTGTGACCTGCCGGATATATTGTGTCCGCTACTCATCAGAACAATTTACCACGATATTACTCAAAGTTATTTTCCTCAGACCTGAGGAAGTTAGTCTTCTAGTAAATGGTTCGATGACCTTATCAGAGAGGTTGATATTAAAATCCACATTAGCGCACCAGCTAGTCCTTCGAACATTCCTCTTACAATTATTTTGTCATCTGCAATCCTAGCAGCCATTTTCTGAAAGGATTTGTAGGAGTTCATCCACCGCTAGGCTCCGCAGGAGAGGTGGCAGGACACCTCTTTGTGGGCAGCCCTTTGTTGTACCGCCACGCAGTTTCCATCTGTTGCATCTGGCGATAGTTGGCTGTACATTTCGTTTCTTTAATGCCCATCTAATGCCTGCACGGTTTTTCTTCTGTCAAAAGCATTTTGAATCTCTGTGGAGAACAGGCAACTGATCTCGGCAAAAAAGAAGGTAGATTGTATCATATATTCAAAGCAATATGCTTTGCTTAAAGTACATACTTGTCTGATTGTACCCCTAGCAAAAGATTGTCATTCTACTACAAATGCTTCCATTCTATACATTAGTAAAAATTTCTGGTGTTACTCGTGATTACTTTCGAAGGATAAATTAGTATCCAAAATTGTTTGCAAAAAAAAATTTTATTTTATTTTCGAAAATAATGAATTATTACATTTTCATTTGAACAATAATAAAGTTTCTATTCATTTGTTTTTATCCTGCAAATTTTTATATTTTTTGCGCACATTCAAGTGTTAATTTCACTTTTATTAATTACTTTTATATCCGCTCAGTACAAATTTTCGCATTCGTTTGGAAATGGTATGTGGCTAGGGTCAGTGTTTGGTCACCTTGATTGAATGCGGCCATAAGTTACAAAGTATACGTAAATAAAATAAATTAGTATATGCTTATATCGAATATTTATAATTTATTTATTTCTGGTAATGATTTAAGAAATTTCCCTCGAAAAAACTCACTTCCGCAACACAGCGCAACTTTCACTACACGTCAACATTTTTCAAGTTCCCTCTTTTTCTATTTCCTTACATTGAATATTATTTAAGTGCGTTTGTTTTTACTAGTTAAATTTATTTACTACGTACTAATTGTTGAATTTAGTATAAAATTTGTACGCTAAACAAGCGTACGCTTTTGATTCTTCAACGTTTATCTTTGCGATTACGATTGCGATGATGTTGTTGTTGGTGCTGTGGTTGCTTCTGTTTGTTTGCATTCTCCGGCACGGTCGCAGACGTTCCTGTAATAGTAGAGAGAGGGCGTGAAACAGATTGAGAGATTGATTATGTCATCGCAGAGTGTCGTTCGTCTTTTTCTTGTTAGAAACTATCTTTAGCAACTTGCAATGAAATATTTGAGCCTGTTCAGCGCATCAGCGAGCGCAACTTGCACTTAAACAACGCCTTTAAAAGACAGAGTTGGTTGAGTTTACTCCATTGAGAAAATATTTCACCCACCTGTTTTATCTTTTCTATCATATTCTGCACTTTCAGTAGCATCCAGGGCAGATATAGCGGCTGCCAGCTCGTTTTCAATTAACTCCTTTACATCTTTTTCGACTGCTATCTCCTCATTATTACTTGTTGTTGTTGGTGTAGTAATGTTCGCCAACTGCGCTCGTTCGTCACTTACGTTCTCTTCCATCTCGACGTCAGCTTGTGCCTTTTGTCTATTTACTTCTACAACTACTTCTTCCTCCTCATCCTCTTCGTGTTCTGCTTCAACTTGTGCCTTTGTGACGCCATTAACCAATAACGTTTCATCCTCGCACGCCTCGGTAGCACTAGGTGTCACTTTGGCCCGCCGCTCCTGTAGCACTTGGGCACACTTCTTCTCCCATTCAACGTGTTCTTTATAATACTGATACACTGGTATCACAATCACTGAGATATCATCCACTGTGGCAGCAGCTTTGCTATCGGCCAGGCGCCAATGACCGGAATCGTTTATTTTACCACGCGCTCGCGCCACCAACTCTTGTGCCACCATTGTGTAACGGTGCTTTTCTGTGGGGTATTTGGCGAGTGTTTGGAAAACGGTGCGCGCTACAGCTTCATTCTCAGATACGTCCCATAGCCCGTCGGTGGCCATAACCAGAATGCCATAATCACCATCCTCATTATTCTCATCTAAATCAAAAGAACAACAAAGCTTTGTAGAATTTTTCTTTTCGTGTACATACATATGTATGTATGTATCTTCTTGGCACTTACCTGGAATGCTGACGATTTTGGAAAGATCGCGTATAACCACTTCAGGATGTGGCGTGAGAAACGGTTTTATTTGTGTGCCTGTGTTGATGGCCAAGAGATCATGATCTCCAAAGCCGCGTGTAACACCCAATGTTCCCAGCAATCGACTACGCTTTCCTTCTCCCGTCACCTTTAAATTAAGACAAAGCAGTTAACAAAGAACATAACATTCGTTCAACCGTAAATACTCACCACCGGCATGCGTAAATCTTCGCGCGTCAACGTTTTATAAGTCCAACCTTTCATTGTACCCTGGCGGCAAAGGATGCGTTGGCCCAAATCCTTCATATGGGGTCGCTTGGCATATTCCATTGCGGCGTACTGTTTCTCCATCAAATGTGGTTTCAAGCGTGCTACAGTAAGTAGTCGATGTCGTTCCGTCTCCGGAGTGTGGTCAAATGAGAAAGGCACAGCAAATATTTCCTGTGTATCTGCATTATTTTCGGCGCTATTCACTGCTACTATGCTTGCAGCTGATTTGTGTTTTTCATCAAGCGCGGATGCACTTTTACGTTGACACAATACTGCACGACTGTCACCAGCGTTTGCCACAAACAGCTTACCATTGATGAACAACGCAACGCAAGCGGTACAGCCGCCAGCATCTCGATATCTATCGCGATCCTGTGCAATCAACGCATCCATATTGAAGAAAGCGCTCTCCAGTGCGCCAATGATGAGCTCATCCTTGTAAACGCGTCTATGAAATTGACTGGGGTGCGGAAAGCCACTATCTGCCTTTGCATTTGCCATTTCCTCTTCGCGAGGAAGCAGTAGTTCAATGCAGTCCACCAATTTTTCATGCAAAATGTGGTGGAATTGATGCGAAGCAGCTAGAGCGGCACCATAACCAGCGTGTCCATCAAAAATGCCATAGTATGTGTATGGTAAATCGGGATGGCAATGTGTTGGGTCGGAAAGTACTTGCCTATTGATATAAAAAATTAAAACTTTGTTTATTTTACAATGAAAAATGGACCAGCTTATCGGTCGATTTACTTTGGCGTTAAACTATGTATGTGTGAAAATGCAAATGTTAGCGGAATTAGGTACACAAAACAAACTGATAAGCATTAACTCAGTAACGTTTTCAGAACTATGACAATTGCGATAAGCTGATTTTGTTCTATTTTCAAGCATATACGATATGTTTGGTCTTTGTACTTGCCTGGAAAAGGCAGCCTGGTCTTCATTCCACTCCGATTTGCCGGAATTGACACACTCAGCATAGCCAGTGCCCCATGGTAGCAAATTGATGTCGCGTGGCACAATGATAGGGCGTACATTGTGATCGGCCGAGGCACGCAACTCATCGATTGTCAAAAGCTGTAGAAATGGTGGACGAGCATATGCGAATTTGTCGGGCATTTTCTGTTGATGCACCATTCGCAGCTGGTAGTTTGACGAAGGACCTCCACGATGTAGTTGGTGGCTGGGAACTGATGGCAGCGGCGGTATATCCGGGGCGATAACCGAAATAAAGCGATTCTTGATATTGGTTATGCTGAACATGTTTGACATCGCTGCGTAGGTGGCAATTGTGGGTGCAATAAATTAATTGATGGAATGTAAGCTGAGTGGAAACGTTCAATACGCCAACAGCTGTTCTGTAAATGAAGTGCACAAACACAGAGTTTGTCACACTTGAACACGTCAACTTAAGTATCTAAATTATTTGTTGAAGATCACGGGGCGATAAAATCGCGCTACTATTTTCTTTGTTGGCTGTTTTCTCGATTGCAATTTGGTAACTGCGATGTTTAAAACTTTCGTATCCCCTGAACCGCACTCCGCACCGTAAACAAACTAGTAGCTCAATGCGTGTTTTTGTTGTCGACACCTTTACATTGCTTGTGGCTTTGCCACTGTTTTGTCCACTTGTCGCTGCTCACCAGCCAACCACTGCAACGACTGCTGCTGCTGCCACCACGTCCGTTTGTTGTTTCGCTAGCGCTTGCAGAAATCAATAATCCGCTACAGATTTCTAAATCACTCTCGTGTCGGGGTACACTGCATTCAAAGAACTTTTTGTACTTTTCACCAAAGTGAATCATAAAAACCAATTTTCTTAGTAAAATATTTTGTTTTTCTGGTTTTCTATAATAAGCGATTTTCTTTCACTGCTGAAAATTCGTGACTTCTTTGTTTTTGCCTTGCCAACGTGAGACGTCAAATTGACATTAAAATGACTTTACACTGCACTACCAGCGGTAGTGGTCTGCTGTATCGACAATTTTGTTGTGATTCGGCTATTTTGCTGTCATCCTAATGGGTTTGAGACCAAACTACTGTGCTTTTTGCGGTTAAATTATTCACACAGAAATTTCGTAATGCACCTAAAATTTCTAATTATTTCTCTTATTTTTTGGTTTTTTAATTATTAATAATTATTTTTTTTTTAGTTATCAAGTATATGAATTTATTTTGACTTTTACTTTTATTATTATTTTTTTTGACGCAGCAGAAAGCAAGTAATAGATTTTTTAACTATCACAGTGACTACCCCGCAAAACATGCAACTAATCCGGAGTGAGGTCGGAATTGGGCGGATATATCTTTAATTTTGTACATCGGAAGTAGGACAATCACGCGACAGCGACTTAACGGATTTGCATGAAATTTTTCACATACATAGATAGACTGAATTGAAAATTAGTATAAATTTTTAAAAGAAGTGCCACCTGCTGCAAAGTTAAGTTAAATTAATTTGTTAAATCAAATATTACAATACAGAGGTCGATTGAAAAGAGGTCTATGAGAGATTAATTTCGAAAATATTTTTGAAGAGATTTGCCAGCTGCTTAAAAATGAAACAAAAGGCTGGCTTTAGTATAATGCGGCATCCGCAGCATACGATTGCGAATGATTCACTGGCGCCAAGCCGTTGAAGAACTTTTGGCAAATAAACCAGCAGAAATAATTTCGATATTAGCAAGTCAATATTCTTATTACGTCTCATCATTCCTAGTCGTTTAACGAAAAAAGGAGAATGCCGCATTATACTAAAGCCAGCTTCGCGACGCTACTATTCCATACGAACACAGATATATAAATAATAAAATAAATAGTTCCTGAAAGTCTGAAATAAATAATTTGTTTAACTGTATAAACATAAAAAATATGCCCTCTTTTCAGAAATGAAGCTGCTGAGCTACGCGATGTCATCATCAAAGCAAAAGCTACTGGAATTGCATTGGATCAGGAAAAAGTCGATCAATACATCAAGGCAATGTCCTTAACCGGTAGTGAGAAGGTACATTTTTTTTTTTTAATTTCTCAAGTTCTTGTAAATGTAAATAATGAGTACTAAAATTTTAGGAAAATGCTGAAAAGTTGGCTGCCATGTGGATGTACACAGCGCAGATGGGCAGCTCACGCAGTTTGCCGCAAACCGGTAGCGGTCGCCCCATTATGTTGATACCAGCTGGAAGTACAAATGTAAGTTCCAAATTAGGGAACAGGAAGGAAGAGTATTTGAGGGTTAAAAACTAAAAAAGTTTACTTAGCTCGTAACAATATTCGGAAATTTTCCAAATCTGCGGCTTTTTCTTTACTTTTTCACTTTACACATTTATCCTTTTCAGATGTTGGCTACCCCTCCTCCACCCGTACCGTCTGTACCTGCGGCAATGGTTGTTCCCGGTGTACCATATCGTCCCGGCATGACCTACACTCTGCCCTACGTACGTCCAGGTTCTGTGATTTATGCGCCAGCCGGCAGTGCACCCAGTGGCACATATCGCACACACAAGAGCAGCAAATCTGTTGGACCACCGCATAACCGTCGCCGCCGTCCGGGACCACCGCCGCCACGCGCTGGAAAAATGAGCGCCAATCGTCGACAACGTCGCAAATCCGAAGCAGATATAATTGACAACGAGGCCTTTCAATATACGGGGCTCGATCGCGATATAGCAGATAATTTTTTGGCGCGTCAAGAGCAAACCAACAGCCAGCCGGGAAGCCATGTTGACTACTCTTCTTCGTCGACGACGGCTAGTGAGACATATGGCAAGCAGCGGTCGCGCTCATCGTCCAAAACGAAAATCGTTTGCCGCGATGTGGTGATGTAGCGCAGAGCTCTTGAGTTGAGTTGAGTCGAGTCATTTGATTGTGGATTGAGTATTTTTGCGTGCGTTAATCCAAGGGACAGTTAAGCGAAATAATAAACAGACATGCATACCTAACTGTATAATATTGTAATACTCGTATGCCTTATTTGATGTTTGCTATTGTAAATAACTCTATTATACATATACTTATTATCGAGTTTATTCGATGCTGCAACTTTGCTTTCTACAAATACAACTAATCGTAGGATTGAGATATTGATATAAAAATATATACGTTAGACAACCTACATGTGTTTGTGTCTCTAAATGGTGGTCTGAGAGCGGATCGCTAATAAACTGCTTTCATTCGCTCTAAAAGTCTTCATCGCTGTGATGATCCGGCTTGCTTGCTGTCTTCGGACGCAACGGCAGTTCTCCTGTGATTTTCGAAATACTTATGTCATCCATCGAGTTTAGATCAACTAAAATTAAAAGTGATTATAATAGGAAGCATTCTTTCTCAACGCCTCACTTACAATCATCGTCGACAAAGTTGGCCAACTCGGCGTCTAAATTGCTCAGTAGACCGCTTGGTGTTTGCCCGCGCCCCATGCCCAGCAGTCCGCCCATGCCCAGGTCACTGTCCGAACTACCAAATGAGCTGTCATCCTCGTCACCCTCCCCGCCCAGTGTAGCGCGTGTACTCAGCATGCTGCCCATAGCGCCGCCACCGCGTCCATCGACGTCGCTGCCATCTTCCGCTGCAAGGCGCTCGGCTTGAGGCCGACGATTACGTCCCGTTATTGGGCGTCCATTGCGCGAAGTTGCCGTACCTGGCCGCTTACTCATCTTACGCGCCGCCTCATCCATCAATCCACTATATGATCTCCGGTTGCGCAAAATCATATCCTCATCTCGAATATCTGGAATCTCCGCATCCAGTCCGAAATTGCCACGTCGCAGCACACCACTGCCATCCAGCTCTGCTTCGCCCTCATTGTCGTCATCGTCTTCTATGAGACCCTCCGGTATGAAGGGCATTGATGATTCCTGCGGCTTCTGCAGCATTGGCGAGGCGACAGGTGTACTGCGTTTGGTGCGCGCTTCGTATTGGGCACGCAACGCATCGCGCACATGTAGACGTTGAAAATATTGTTGAAACAATTCCTGCAGCTCCTTCTCGCATTCCTCGAACTCTTGCATGTGCGCCGGTCGTATCTTCTGCAATGCCTCCAAACGCTGCTTGGTGCGCTCCAACTCGGCGCGCTTGCGTTGCAACTTTGAGCTAAGCGCGTTCATTTCTACGCGTGCATTCTCCAATTGTCCGCGACTCGATTGCAATTTCAATTGTGCGGCTGCTACAGCATTCTTAAGCGTACGCTCTGCTGATACCAACTCCATTGGACGATTGGCTTGCGCCAGGCGTGTCTCTCGGTGTAGCATTTCTTTAGCGAGCAGCTCGTGCAGTGCAGCGCCGCGCTGAGTTAGATCTGTGGAGAGCTCGCGAGCACGACGCAAATCATCCATTTTATCGCCTATGTCCACCTGGTTGAGACTGCGGTAGTTCTCCTCTTCATCCTTGTCCTCGGACGATTGTTGCGGTGTGATCAGCATGCGCGTGATCTTCTGCAACTCGGTGGCGGTGACGGCAGAAGACGCATATAACTTACGTGGATTGAGCTTTATGGCCGATTTAGTAACAAAGAACTCGGTGGCGGAGCGTATAAGTAATATGCGTTCATTCTCCGATTCTACGCTGCCGGACAGTACGGCACCTGGCTCCAGTAGACCGGCCAACCATTGGAGAACTTCGGCGACGACATGAAATGAGGCAAGACTGCCGAAATTATTGGCCAACGCCTGCAGAGGGAACACATGCGGATAGCCGAGTAGCTTGAGGTGCTCAGCGAGGTCTGCGAAATGTTAAGTGCTAGGAAATTACTATTATTTCAATAATTTTCACTTACCTCGCACATCCTTGAAGGACATATCTATGATATTGAATTATATATATTTTTTGTTAATATTATTTCAGCTAAAATATAAAATTTTTCCTGTGCAACTTTAGTAGACTTTTAACCCTGCAGCTAACAATGGTTTGTTGTGGCTTAAAAGTATTTGTTTACAACACAGCCGTCGCGTCTGTTGCTAGGATATGGTTGCTTAGAGCTTAGCGTTGTGTAGCGAGTTCAATGCAACAGGTCGGGGAAAACAAACATTTCGTATTAACCCTCAAGTATGAGCCAAAGGAATCTATCATCGTCATCAAAGACGAATTTGGAGTTTATAAAATCATTATATAAATAGGCAATCATGTTTCTTTACACCCCTTTTACGGCTAAACTGTACTTCTAAGGTATAAACAATTATATATCATTAGAAAGGTATTTTGATGCTGATGTGCAGGCAGTTTTTAAAATTTCAAATTAGTTTAAAATAGAGCGAAAAAATCAATTCAAAAGTCACACCAATACCAATGCCATACATGTACATGGTTGGGGCGGAAATGCCTCCTAAATGTATGCTTTAATATTGATGGTGAATTAAAGAAACGTGCTAAGCAGCAGTTTAGGAATAAGATGTATGTATGTATGTACATGAAAAGATTAGCCTCAAACAAGGATGAAGATAATTTTGAGTATGGAGAGGAAGAAAGGGATAAATACATAAATTAAAATAAAAGTAAAGAAACCTAAATATAAAGACAAAGAGGAAGGAAAATTTAAATACCTAACCTAATAACAAGGGTGGGGGTGAATATGTAAATGAAGAAAAGAATGGACATATTTAGATCAGGATAAAGGAAAGGATAAAGATGAAGACCAAGACGACGAAGGTGAAGATAAAGATGAAGATGAAGATGAAGATGAAGATGAAGATGAAGATGAAGATGAAGATGAAGA